TTTTCTTTTCTGAATTATTTATTTTATTCCAAATTTGTTTTGTTAGCATCAACAAATAAAGTTTCTTCATGACTGCTATATATTTTAGCTAATTTTACATATTCAAAGACAAATCACACTTATTTAGTTTTATTATCACAACATTGATTGATTTCGAAAAAAATCACAATCAAGAAAACTACCGAAAACTTTCAATACATTACATACTGATTTACTAACGCGTTTTGTTTTTTTTTTAGATTTATTATCGCTTAATAGAAACTCATGAGCAAATAAAATTATATGTAAATAGTAGCACACGTAACTAAACAGCTAAATTCATTCGGACGATTTAAAAATAATTAAAAAAAATGTCACATTCTAACATTTTCTAGATTTTACTAAAACACGATCTATGCTTTTTATGTAGTGGATTGGCATGCAAAACTCTACCAAATAGAAATAAAAAATTTGAAAATAAGAATATTTGCATATTCTTTAAATCCAAGATGTATAACTTGATGTTGCCTTCTACAATTCTAGTATTCTATTGATATGTTTTGGATTTTGAGTTCTCTACATGGTGCACCACTAGTACTACACAACCTGGTAATACTTTAATTGCAAGTATACCTTGATAAGATTTCCATTAAAAAATTTGTCATCAGAGTATTGTCTCACTTATCTTCAGTAGAATTTTGGACAAATAATGAAATTGTTCGCGCCAAACACGCAGCCTACATAGGATGTATAAATATGGACATACCCTTGTTCGTGGGCTCTCAATGCCCAGAAAACAAACTATTTATGGCCAATAGATAATTCTCCATTGAAGGTTCATAAAATGATTAAGTGGTGTAAGCCCCTTCCTGATACTGTGAAATACAAAATTGTCACGAAGAGATGTGTAGCTACATCTTCAAATTATAAACTAATAAAAGTATATGAAGCGAGGGCAGAATTCACATCCTGTGTTGATGGTGAACAGGAGAAAAACGAACAAATAGAGGATAGCCCCAATATAGAGAAAGGTATATTATTAATATCTTTTATATCATAGCATTCAACAAAAAATTCATGTTAATATTTATTGCAGAAGTGATATATATATATATATATATATATATATATATATATATATATATATATATATTAGGGGGACCGGAAAGTAATGTCGTTTTCTTACGCTAAACTACAAACACATACATTTTAACGAGTCTTTATTTTTAATCAATGATGTATTCCCCATCATTGTCAATAACCTTTTGCCATCCAGTGAGTAAATTTTCAATCCCTGATCGATAAAAAATTAATTGTTTTTCGGCAAAATATCTAGAGATGGCATTTTTGGATATCATCCAAATTTGCAAATGTTTTGCCACTTAAAAAGTGTTGCAGCGCTCGGAATAAGTGGAAATCCGATGGTGCAACATCGGGCGAATATGGTGGATGAGGCAGCACCTCCCACCCCAATTCATTAATTTTTTCTAGAGTTCGCTTTGCGCAGTGCGGTCTTGCATTGTCATGTTGGAGAATGACGCCTTTTCGGTTGACAATTGCTGCCCACTTTTCAATTAAAGATTGATTTACTCGCTGCAATTGTTCTCTGTAGAGGTCTGCAGTAACAGTTTGTCCAGATTTCAATAATTCAAAATGAACAATGCCGCGAATACTCCACCAAACACACAAAAGCGCTTTTTTGGGGTGTAAACCTGGCTTAGCAGTACTTCGAGGGTTTTCTTTTGGAGAGAGCCACTGCCTTTTGCGTTTTGGGTTATCATACAGACCCATTTCTCATCTCCTGTGATCAAGCGATCAAAAAACGCTTCTGTGTTTGTCGTTGAAGCAATAAGTTGCATGTGATTGATCGGTTAGCCTTATTCTGTTCGGACAGATTATGCGGGACCCAAACACCTGCTCTGCTTACTTTCCCAATCTGCTTCAAATGTTCTTGGATGGTCGACCAAGGTTGGTTGGGACTGTTTGACAATTCCTCGATCGTCTGACACGGATTTGCTTCCACTTCCGCCCTTAACACGTCGTTGTCTAACGCTAATGGTCTTCCTGATCGATACGAGTCGGAAAGATCAAAATTACCCGATTTGAACTTGGAAAACCACTTTTGGCATTTACGAATGTCCAGTGCATTTGGATAAACATCGCAAATGTTTTTGGTAGCAACTGTTGCGTTATTTCCCTTGCGAAACTCAAAGAGCATGCAATGCCGGATGTGTACCTCTTCTGGTATTTGGCTGCCATTTTACCCAAAATTACAAAAAAAAAATTGTAATTCAAATGTCTATAAGTAAAGAAATCACTATGTCTCACAATGTCTTTGGTACGCCTCTGAACTAAACAATGAGCTGACAATGACAATCAAATATTGGCATGCGCAGAAACGACATTACTTTCCGGTCCCCTAATATATATATATATATATATATATATATATATATATATATATATATATATATATATATATATGTGTGTGTGTGAAATTGAACATGGAAAAGTAGAGGAGAGTCCCAATATGGAGACTGGTACATTATTTAAAATTTATATATTTGAACTATTTATTAAAATCTTTTAAATTCCAATAAAAAAATTCATTCGTCTCAATATATATGTCGCAGAGGACAAGTTAGATAGTAGCATCAACACTCTATCCAAATTATCATATGAAATTAATGAAATGAAGGAAGACATAAGGGAGCTGTTGTCATATAAGAGAGATTCCGGTCACAGGTAATTATGCACAGTGAGATTTTTTTTGAGTAATTTTTTTTATTTTAATAAATTTAATTCGAAATAAATTCGAGCACCCCTAAGCGACAAAGAACACCAGTTTCTCGCAATGGTATATGCATTTGAAAATTACAATAATATTAATTACTTGTATTTTTAAAAACAAACTATTGCAGAGTGTCAAACAAAAACGCAGCAATGCCTTGACACCCCGAGTCCATAAAATGTATGACACATCAAAAATTTTGATACAGGGGTGCAAAGAATTAATAAACAAAATACAAATTTACGGGACAAATTTCAGCAGAGCATCAAATGTGCTGAAAAATTCTCTTGTATTCCAGCGACGTTAAATTTGAGGGCAAGTCATAAAATGCCAATTGATATAACATACAAAAATAAGCCGAATGGAAGAAAATTCACATTTGAAGATAAAATTCTCGCATTGACATTTTATAAAAAGTCGCCAAAGACCTGCTATTTCTGGAGGCAAATATTTATATTGCCGAGTCTTCAAACTTTTAAGAAATTTACTGTCGCATATCCCATTACATGTTGGAATTAACGATAAGCTTTTACAATCATTAGAAGCTGCTATCTCTCGCAAAAAAGATATTTGCAGCAAATATTGTATATTAATGTTCGACGAGAAATCTTTATCTTCTGATTTATCATATGATCAGAAAAAGGATCATATAATAGGATTTGAACAACAGGCAAATGGCAGGAAGCTTTTACTTGCAGATCATGCAGTAGTTTTTATGTTGAAGCAAATTAAAGATCGATGGAAGCAGTCTGTTGCTTTTTACTTTTCAGTTGGTGGAGTCAATAGTTCAGATTTAAAAAGTCTCATTGTTGATATCTCTCGAAAAATATTTAGTATTGATTTAAAAATTTAGCCACAGTTTGCGACCAATACTCCGCAAACTGTAAAGCTATTAATATGTTATTGAAAGACACCGAACACGATTATAAAACTAGAGACTGACTGGAACGAAGTGAGTTTTGAAATTGATGGGCACGAAATAATTCCGTTGTTTGACCCTCCGCATTTATTAAAATGCATGCGCAATAATTTTGCAAAATATAAAGTAAAGTTTACATACTTAGACGAGAAGGAATATGAGCCTTCCTGGTAAGATATTGTAAACTATTATGACTATGATGCAAATTGCAGATTGTTCCGGAAATGTTCTTCATTAACTGAACATCATCTCGATTAAAATAAGATGAAGCGGATGAATTTCAGCCTGGCAGCTCAAGTTTTTTCCCAACGCAATGAGGATGGTTTACAGAACTCCGGTTACTTGGAAGCAAATGGAAGTTCTACAACATTTGGAACTGGAGAATTTTTTATTTTATGGACTGTTTATTTGAGAGCGTGAATGGATTGACTAAATTGCCAGTACGAGGTAAATTATTTCGTTGTGCTGTTTCTAATCAATCACAGCATATAAAATTTTGGCATAAAGCCGGCCAAAATCGGAGATGTCGTTCAGGCGAAATCCTTCCTCAACCTTTCTTAATTTTAAAAAAAATTGGAAAATTTTAGAATCCAAAGTTTAGATATTATGCAGAAAATTTTAGATATTTTAAATTACAGAAATTTTAGAATAAAAATTTACAGAAAATTTTAGATATTATAAATTCAGGAAATTTTAGAATATAAATTACAGAATTTTAGAAATTTTTAGAATATAAATTACAGAATTTTAGAAATTTTTAGAATATAAATTACAGAATTTTAAAAATTTTAGAATATAAATTACAGAATTACAGAAAATTTTAGAATATAAATTACAGAACTATAGAAATTATAAATTCTAGAATTTAAATTACGAGGTTTCATATCAAATTTATATATAATTTTATATTGAAATTTAAGAATTTATTGGCTGAGTAGTATTTTCACAAAATTGAATTTTGTATCTTTATAGTTTGAAATTTTGTTTTAGATTATATAAGATTTAAGAATTTGCAGTACTAATCTTTTTGTGTAATTTAGGGATATACATGGTCTGTTCAAAAAGTACCCGGAATTTTCGTTTTTTCAAAAAATATTTATTTATTCGTCTACATTAATGTGGTCCCCTTCAAAGTAGTCCCCCCCAGATATAATACACTTATGCCAGCGTTTTTTCCAATTTTCGAAGCACCCTTGATATTCACTTTTTGATATGTCCTTGAGCACTCTCAGCGATTTTCTTCAATCGAGGAAAACCGCCGTCCTTTCATGGGTCTCTTCAACTTTGGGAATAGGAAAAAGTCACACGGAGCCATATCTGGTGAATTTTTGCACTTTGCAACACTTTACTTCATTTTTTACGCAAAATTTAATACAAATTCTTTGACTTTTCAATTCTTCCATTGTAAAAATCGCCGAGCTCAGAAAAACACGTCGAACCTTAGCGACTACCACAGACAAAGTAAACAGTGAATATAGCTGAAAATTTCATCATACTTTAGGGGCATGTATACCAACACAATAAAAAAAAAATTTTGACAATCAGACACTCCAGACCCGCGAAATTTAATTATTAGTAATTCCGGGTACTTTTTGAACAGACCTCGTATATATATATATATATATATATATATATATATATATATATATATATATATATCTCAGACTGATATATCAGAATATATGTCAGACAGCAGAAGGGCTACTACTGGTTTCGGACTACCACAACAGAGAGTATTCAGCAAATTCTCTTAACCTTTTAGACTCAATTTTTAGTAATCAAATCAATATTTCTTGTGTACTCATCCGTTACCAATTCACAGTTCACACCCTTCCATTCCTCTCTGTGTCGATAGAAACCATACAATGGCTTACTTGTCCCTTTCTGAAGCTAGATCAATGATTAAGTGTTTTGATGGAAGCGATCCATCACAGCTTCCAACATTTTTAAGAACGTGTTCCTTTGTTTTTGAGCAAATTGAAGAAAGTAATAACACTAATTTATAAAACTACATTACGCACGTAAAGTTAGAGGGTCAAGCTTTACAGGCTGTTCAATATAAAAAAAATTCTAGTTTTGAGGACCTTCAGTCCACCCTTCAGAATTTATACTTAGAGCGAAAATCTGTGTCATCCTTACAAGTTCAGTTCGATCAATGCAAACAAAGCTCTCGTGAAAGTGTACAAGATTTTGAATTAAGGCTAGAAAAAATTCTTATAGATTTAATTGATGCTACCGTAAAGCGAAGTAAAAATCCGGCTGCTAGTGACTATTGTAATGAGCTTTTACATAATCAAGCTTTACACGTTTTTTAAGAAGAGCTTCACCCAACATTAAAATATTTAGTAAAATCTAAGAATCTTCAAACTTTCAAAGAAGCTGCAGAGGCGGCTAAAGAGGAAGAAGCTTTAGCCAATTCTTTTAATTTTAAAGCACCAGAAATTTCACGTCCTTATACCTTTGTGCCGAAACAGGGCCCATAATTTATTGAACCAGAAATATCATGTAATTATTGTAAGAAGATAGGACATATAATTAGGCATTGTAGAAAGCGTATATACGTTGAGCAGAATAAATCTAAAATTAATGTAGTAGATAAGACAAAACAACCAGAACCTGGTACTAGTAAGGCAAGTGCTTATAAAGAAGCTCATTTATCATGTTTAAAAAAAAGATCAGTAATTTAGCATTCATAAACTTAGTCTCCAGATATTGTGGATAGTAGAATTAATTTATTAGTAGACACGGGTGCAGAAATTAGCTTAGTTAAGATTTACAAGGTAATAGATGATGTAGATATTAAAGATAAATTTGAAGATAAGTTAAGATTAACTGGAGTATCAGGTACAGATGTTACTACTATTGGTAAGGCTCAATTTAGATTTAGATTAGGGGACTGCGTAGTTAAGCATAATTTTCATATAGTTAGGGATAGTTTACCTATTAAAAGCGATGGAATATTAGGTATGGATTTCTAACAAGAGTTTGGTGGATCGATTAATATTGCAGAATCTAGTGTAAAATTTAGTAATAAAACGCAAATGCCTCTAAAATTAAGTTCTGTTAATTTAAATCCACGTT